GCCGGTAAACAAAGTTCCGAATTCGTATTACACGAGAAAAGTAGGTAGGTACTTGCTATGATAACAACTATATAGTTTCGTCATCATAAAATATTTTTCAAATGATTCAGAGGTAAACTGTTTTTGATTCGTTGTTTCAAACACCGAACAATAACCGATAACCGCGTACGTACCTTCGGATATTTTAATATTTTCTTACGAACAAAACTTATACAAACTTCTGGGTGTAAATATTCTTGTTTAATAATCGCGTCTTGTAAAAAAATATATTTTACGAATAAACAACAACTTTTCCTTTTAAAAAAAATGCTAAATTTTTGAACGGTTTGAAGTAGGGATTTTGCTACAACGGTATTTTAACGGTTAATACGGACTGTCGACATATTTGGTCTCAGAACGCCGCCAAATTAGCTTGTGTCCACGTGTGCATCGTTTTCGATTTTAAAAGTTTAATAATGTATTATTAAATGTTTGCATTTTGGGGTGGAATTCACAGAGCATAAACGTTCAATACTTTCCAACGATTTTTGTTTTTATCTTTTTTTTTTTTTTTTCTTTTGTTTATTTGTTTCATAGACTGCAAAGGACATCCTCGTTTCCCATTCTACAACCGGACCAAATAAGCGAAGCTACACGCGCTCGCCACCCGTGCGTGTGTCATTCCAAGCATTCCACGGTAAGAGCATTCCGACGGATAATTTCGTGAGATTAACCTTGTGATAGTGGTCGGTGAACGGATATACGTGAGGGATGGAAAAATGTGCGTTTTAAAAATTTGTCGGTGTACATATACGCGGTATAATAACCGTACAAGTTACATTCGGTTACGGTACGGGGTATAAAAACGACAAAAACGACAGAAAAAAACAAAAAAAAATTTAAAAAAAAAAACAAAAGTCGATCCCATTTCACGGCTCGAGTAAAAGCTTTAACGATAAAAAGACCGCGGTCCCTCTCTCTACCACACACACACATACACACACGTGCGAGCGTGTATAAGCTCGCACAAGCGCACATTTTCTCGCGGTGGTGTATATAAGTAAAATTTATGGCTAAAAGATCTCCGGCGGCGGTGATATTATCTTTATAGTCCCTCGGTTCACGCGCGCTGTCCGTTGTTATTATATCAAAAGTTGGCAACATCCTCCCTGCCCGCCGCCGCAGAAGCAACACCCCTTCGCGGGAATACCGCGGCGCCCCCTCGACGCTCCCACGCCACCGACCACGGAGCCATAATAAACACCATTTCGCCGAAAATAACACCGGAGCACGAAACAACAGCACAGCTATATAATGTATACTACGGTGTACAGTGTGTATAGAAGCCAGCCAACCGCCGCCGTTATCCTCAATAATTTTGTTGCCGTTCCATCTCTCGCACTCACTCCCGTATTCCCGCGCATTCATTTTTTAGTTTCCTTTGCGGGTTTTTCTCTACAATTTTATTGGATTTTTTTACTCCGCAGCAAAATCATCCCGTTCATTATGCACTTGCGAATGTCTACGGAACGCATAAGTGTATTTCATTACAGCGCGGCGAGTGGCGAGGGTGAGGAATTTACCCGACATCCTAGCGGTTCTTGAATTTCAATTCCATTTGAAAATTTCGAACATAATTATGCACATTAACCGCCGCCTCCGCCCCTGTTTTATATTCATCGAGTGCCCCGTCTGGCGAAACAACCCCTCTAACCATCATCCACCAACTCTACCATATCGCCATCCGTTGCTCACTCAGCGGGGAACTGAAGACGTTATAATATTATACAGTAAGCGTAAGTGTGTATGCGCTCGTACGCTCATAATACACACTGCTATATATAAAGTCCGTGTATATATAATGTATATATATTAAGTGTAAACGTCGGGTTCAGCGGAAGCTGAGACGAAAAAATAATACGCACTTAAAATAAATTGGAGGTAGATACAAAATCCCATTATTTATCGTGTCGACGACATAAATACGAAATATTCTGCCGATACAGTAAAGCGTAGTTGCGGTATACCTTCCACCTGTAATTTTTTTTTTTCAGTTTTCATTTTTACTTCAAAATTCCATTGGAAAAGCAATATTCGAACAATTACGAATTCGAGAGGCACGTGACAAGGTGCTAAAGAGAAAAACGTCACAAAAAACTGTATGCAATTGAAGGAAAAACTCAACAATTTATTTTTTTATTTTTTGTCATCAAGAAAAATACACAAAATAGGTATTACAGGATATATAATCTAAACATCTTGTAGCCTAAATTTTAAAATAAAAAAAAAATTACAACTAACAGTTTTAGGAAATCAAATTTATAATAAATTATTGAATTATTATAAAATATATTATGCATGCAATATATTTTTTTCCGTCGAAATATTTATTGGCATTTATTGAATATATTTTATAAATTAGTGAATTTAAATAAAAAGATGGTTAAAACTCATTTACAGACAGTTTATTTGATTTTGTAATACTTATGTGAAAAAGAAAAAAATAATAGTTATTAACTTTGTATGCGCATGTTTTAAAGAAAAAAACAATAAAAATTAATTTTTTTTTATAACATTATGTATTGATTTTAAAAATGTGACAAATTTCAAATTATTTATGATAATTTTTTTTTTCTTTAAAACGAAAATTGTATATGTAGTAAAATGTTGATTCATTTAAAATTGTATTTGCATCAATTCATTCCGATTTATTATTCAGATAACTCCTTACTTGTGAGAGAAATTATATTAGTATTATTTTACAAGACGTGTAATGAAAAAAAATAAATTATTTTTGGCACAATGTAACATGATATTATCTCTAACGTTTTTATTTCAGACACATTACGTTTATATTTCTTTTCAGTGGTACGAATAAAAGAATAGAGAAGTCTATATACAATATATTATATATTTGGGATCTTAATTTTCAATATACTTCAATTTCTCTGTTTGCAACCCACCTCTTCAGAAACAGCAATATACCATGTACGTGCGTAGTTTCGACGATTCGTAAAGTTTTATATTACTTGTCTTTATTTTCAAACCTTATTTTTTAAATGTTGTCGATAACATTTTTGAATTTTTTGATTTTAATACACATCAAGTTAACACTATTTACATAACCGAGATCAATATAGTATTATGTGTTTGGAAGGAACTTAAAATTATCGAAGGTAATAAAAAAATATAAATAACAAGAGATAATATCCGTTTTAAAAAGTGTATTTACATTTTATATTTTTACATAAATGTTTCATGGATATAATAATGGTATAATATATATAATAAATATATATATATATATATATTTATTTATTTATTTAAAAGTATTATTTTTTTTATATTTAGGTGACAATATTACAAGTAATATAGGTAACATAAAATAACAAAAAAAAAACAAATTTAAGTAGTTTTCACATTTAAATAGATAACTTTGGTTACAATATAAAGATAAATGTTTTTTTTTTTTTTATGAATAATGCAAATTTAGAAATGTGTTAGCTAAAATTAAAATTAGACTAAAGAATAGTAAAGTGTCGTAAACAACAAAATTTTGTACAGAAATTAGATGAAAAATATCGAGGTGATAAAAAATAAAATCTAAGCAACGAGATATGACTAAAAACTATTCTATGTACCTATTGCTTAATTAATTATACACAGATGAAAAAATAAATGAATTACACAAATAGTAAATAATCATGTTCTGTTAAATATTGTGTTTATTTTATTTAAGCTACTGTCCAGTGTACACTTTTCTAAATTAAATTATAGTCTGAAAATAATATCTGCTATAAATTATAACCAAATTGACAATTTTCCATATAAAATTATGAGTTACAACTTACAAATAACTCGTTAAATCTTCGATAAATGTATTTATTATTTTTAATATGATAATAAAACAAGAACTTTGGAATAATGCATAACATAATATAACTATACAACAAACAACTATACAAGTACAATACAAAATAAATTAATATTATAAATTATAAAAAAATAAAAATATTTTTACTGAATTAGTCTATTTAAAGATTGAGGATTTGTAAAACAATAATATTATAGCTGAATTTAAAACTTTTCATTGTAAATAGTTGGTCATTAAAAATCAGTACATATCAAATTACTGTATGGAATCAAAATGTATCATTTATACTCAAACGTAATATCGTATATACAATTTTACTTTATAATTTAATATCATTACAAATTTCGTGATTTTTTTCGATAGTATTTATAAACTGTCTACATTTATATTACGTATATTAGTATATTGATTTATTCTGTTTATTTTAATTAGTGTGAGCATAATATTACATTCATACATATGTAATAATACAATATGATTTTCATCAATAAGTCTTGATACCCGTCAATTAAGTTTTCAAAACGAATTATTCCTTAGCTAACATGACAAAATAGTAGACTATCCATAAACTGTAGTAAAATTAAAACAGAATCGAGCATATTTGACGAGTCATCGAAACTTCCAATACAGATGTACAACAAAACACTAGTTATGAAACTAGGAATCTATTTTGATAATTAGGTTTGACAACTATAAACAAAGTAATTTTGTACACGGTTATATGATGGTTTGTATTTAATGAATATTCGTATTGGAATCAATAGAAATGTTTCCGATTAGCTTAAGATAATAACATTAATGATACGTCTCGACTTCAAATGGAAAATATACGAAATATTAAAAACAGTTTTTTAATTTTTATGTATTCAAATTTATATGCCATTATAGTTTCTGTATTTTTTCGAGAATAATAAATAATTATAGAAACATGACATTTATTGTTGCAGATTATTAAATAGTTTTCATATATTGTTATGAGAATATTTTAATTTAATTAAATTAACTGATATATTATTTTAGTATTTAAAACGTAAGCACACGTCTTATTTTTAGCGAATTTTTGTTAATATATGATATATTGTGTATGTATATGATGGGTTGCAAGTTATAAAATCAAAAATTAACATTTCATTTTCATTTTTCTACGAATTCTATAACTTATCAAAATTATATTTACAATAAATTCAATTATACTGAGAAATTTGGGTGGAATAACTCTGACATATACAAAACAAATCATACAATAACATGTTTTACGAATAAACAAAATGCATTTGGACTAGTCTTGATTGGTAAAATGATAAGTGTGCCTTATCAATTTTTTCGTTAGGTTTTTAACAATTAACTATAAATAAAATTACTTATATTTATATAAGTAATTTATTATTAAATATAATTTAATATAACTAGTTGTACGGAACAACGATAAATACTATTTACACAAAAATTAAACGATCACCAAGACACTTACCATACTTGTTGACTAGTACTCACATACCCCGAAGCTTTTAAGATTCCAAATTAATTTATATGATATTTTAGAGATAAACAGGTTAAGGTATAAATAGGTAGGAGATAATCAGCACCGCCATGTTTGCTCAATGCAAAACATTTAAATATAATGTGGTAAAAAAAAAAAAAAAAAAAAAAAAATGGAAAAATATGAATTATTTTTATTATAACGCTCAACTTACATCAAACACGTTTTTGTTTCTTACGCGTTTGTGGAAAAATTAAAAAAAAAAAACTTCAAACCGAATTATTATTATTTAAAGGTTAATAAGGTTGGTGAGTCTTTTAACGGTCCCACACAAAGGCCTGAACTTTCAATAAAAAGTTTAAAAAGCTCTTTGAAAAATAGTATGAAATCTCTAATTGATACCACGTATATCACGTTTGTGTACATGACTTCACTCCAAACAAGGAATATTTTTATATTTTAAGTTCAGATCATTATTATGCAGTGGTGTTCAAGACAACCAGGTTACAACAAAGAAAAACTGCCATTTTACAAAAAAAAAAAAGATTTTCATCCTAATTGCACATTATTGATTATACATTTAATGTGTTTTTATCTTTTGTATTTAAACGAGCTTTTACTTAAATCTTCAACTTAATTGTATACTTCATAGTAATATACAGCGGATATGATCAATATTATGACACAATGGTTGTTGATGGCAGCACCTAAAAAAAAATAAATACCATAGAAATTAGATTATTTTCTAAGTTAAATAAAAAAAAATATTGTTTGATTGTATGTCTGTATGTCATATCAAGTATGAATTCATATTATCAGATAAAATTATATATTATATTATAAAATATAATATGTGCTTGACAAATTAAATTAATAACTGATTTTGAGTTCAAGTTATTTTAAAGAAAATGAATCATTTATTATAAGTTGTTGTTATTATTTTTTACGATAGTTTATACAAGGTAAGTAAACTCCGATGAAATATTTTATACTATTGACTAACCACACATAAAATTAAGAAATTTACCGAGAAATAAAATAAAAACATAATATGTTTTAGTAATATTTTTATAAAATATCAAAATTTATTATTAATTTATAGTCAATTATAAAATAATAAAATCAATTTATTATTTTTCTTATTTATTAATTTATTCACCGAGGACTTACTTTTTAGGAGTAGTCAAAAGTATATTTGTTTAAGAATTTCTTTTAAATTTTTTTTTTATGATAACATATTTATAATTTAAACGTAGAAATAAATCCATTTAGTAGGGATTTTTTTGTTCAAAGATAAATTTATTTAGTAATACTTTTGTATTGTGACGATTAAATTTGTATTTTAAATAATAATTATGGAATAATGAAAATGTATTAAATACATTTTTGACGATAGCAATATCTTATAATTAAAAATCAAAAGCATTTAAAAATTAATCACTTAATAAGAATTCCCTTAAATGTAGATAAAATACCTAATATATTTTTTGCTACTCAATATTACGATTTTGACATGTTGATTTGAATTTAATTTTACATCTTACAAAGTCAATATTCTATAAACCATAGAAAAAATTGAAATTTAATATAAGTTTAATGGTTATACAAACTTTTAGATTGGAACAAATCGCCAAGTTTCCTAGACCATAGTAGATCAATTAAACAGAGACAGTAACTAATGATATTGGTCGCGATACACAGTCACCCGTATTTCTCTGAAGCACTTATTTTAATTGTCATATTATATCTATATATGTAAACAAATATTTATTGTGAAAACTACAAGAAATTATATCAACTTTAAACTTAATTTAAATTTTAAACCAAATGTATCAAAGGGAAATCATTTAATTTTTCTCTCCAAAGCAATGATTGTGTAAGTTTATAGTTTAATAAATGAATTGATAAGTTCCACGAACTGCCAATTTTATTATTATTATTATTATTATTATTTAGAATATTTTATTTTAAATTTATGTTAAATAAAAATAATATAAAATACACCACGAGTAAAAGTATGATATTTTTAATTAACAGAATACACAAATATTTACGAAAATATATTAATTAAAAACTATAGTTTAATGGACATTTAAAAAACAACTAACTTTTTAATGTTAAAAATCGGAACGAATTCGTATAATTTTGAAACTGTAAAATTATTAGTGTACACTAAATAATTTTTAGCCTGATCTTTTTTTTGATGAAATAATGTATTACGAGTAATGGATAAATACATGCAAATTGTCTAATTGTGTTCATCAATTACTCATAGTATTAAGTCGGTATATTATTATTAGGTATCCTGAGAATTACGGTTACTTCGCTTCAATAAATTAAACATTATTTTAGGAGTTAAATTATTAACGACGCATTACACTGCGATTAATAAATTATTATTAAAACAAATAATAACATGAACATATCTTATACGTGGTTACTGTTTCTAAAAACAAACATTTTTGAAATTATTTTCAAATCATAGATACAGAACTTCTAAATGATAGCTTAGTTTACATAGTATAAAAACATATTCATTATTAAAAATCCGACACAAGAAAATTATTTTATTTTATTAAAAACACTGAAAATACCAATTAAATAATTTTAACTGAGGGAAATAAGATCTTGGTACACAAAATAAAAGCCCTGAATTAAAAAATTAGTAAAAAAATACAATATAGTAATGTAGACTATACCTATATCTGATATAGCTGAATAGCATAGTTATTTTTTTAGTAAAAGAAAATTTCTCAATATAAACTTCTGCAGAAACCCTGACATATTGAATTGATAGATTGCCGTAAATATACCGACGATTTCAACAAAAAAAAAAGTAAAGTACCAAATACATTGGATACCTACGGTGTTCAGTCTAAATTTAGAACACAACAAAAAAATCATTTTATTATAAAAAAAAAAAAAAATTGATTGAAGTATTTAATTAAATAAGTCTGTGGAAAAGATATTACATAAAAATTGGAAAAAAAACTAATTAAATATAAAGAAACTGAAATTATTATATAATCGGATGAAAAATAAAATATTTTTACCTAATTACCTTCACTATGTGTGTATAGTTTAAAATAATATTTGAAAATATAAATGTATGTACATTTGTATTATTAGTAATAATTAAATAAGTATAGATTTTCAAATTTCACTGAATACATTTAAATAACAAGTGCTAGTAATTTGGTATTGTAATTCAGATAACAATCAATGATTAATAAATGTACACATTTTAGTCATGACCTTATGTATATTAATATACATTATATAAACTAAATCATTATTTGATTAAATGCACTTAAAATCGTTGTATTCTTTCAAAATGTACTTGTTATACTTGTTGAAATAATCAAATAAATTTAGTTCAACGAAAATGTATACATTATATATAGATGTATGAGAATTACTATTTTGAGCATACTATAATGAAATCATTTCATGTTTGTAAATAAGCAGACCAATGGTCTATTATAGTTATAAATTATAATGTATGATATAAAAAAGATATTATTACAAATATTGCGAAGGAATTGAAATTTTCACCATTAAAAATATTATATTGTGTGAAAACATGATTTTTTAATTTTTTATTTTAATCAATGCCTGCGATTTTGTGTTCTATAATTATTAATATTATTTGGATTTAAAACTGCTTTCAGAATATAGTTAATTACTTGTGTGATGGTGAACAAGAAAAAAATAAATAAAATAATAATATTTAATTACCAGCGTTAAGAATGTGTCTCTCCTGCGATAGTGTCTGATCGGGTACGAGTCGCAGACGCACACTCGTTTCATCTGTCTTGGTCTCTGCTCCGGCCACCTTTGCAGTGCATTTGACATACATCTGTTTTTTGTTCATATCCACCCACTCCTTTTTAAGAGGGAACCGCAAGCCCAGCGTGGAATTGTAGAACGGCCCTTCGGATACTTCGGGATTATAACGCTCGAGTAGGTAACCGTCCACCTGAAATCGAAATGGCATAATATTAAGTTTGTAAAATTGTTCATAATAGAATAACAATATAATAATATTATGACAAAGTTGAACGCTTGCAAATTAACACATCACACGAAATTATGTTACACAAACAAAGGTTTCTATTCGTAAACTCATGAACTAACCATTTCATGTTTAAATCAAATGTATAACTATCTGAAAAGAAAAACTTACCCCCTTCAAAAAAAAAAAAAAAAAAAAAAAAAATAGATAAACAAATAAAAATGAAAAATACTTTTATTCGGAACGAATGTATAATGCATTCTCATAATATTATGCGAAGGAACGAAAATCACTTACACATTATATTATGTATACATTTTTTTTTATAGTTAACTCGATGTCACTATAACCTCAGGTCATGCAATCCAGGAATATTAATATAAAGTGTATTAATAAATATTTTAATCCTATTGTATACAGGTACAGAAATAAATTACAATTTATCAACACTGCGGGCTAATGTTTATACGTTATACATAATAGTATATATTATATATATATATATATATATTAACGATTTGACATTTATTATGGCATATTTTACCATGAAACATGTTATGATTATTTTGGAACAAGTCTTCGTAATTTTTAAAACTTGTTCATTAACGCACACGTACAGATAATAATAATTTTATGGTTTAATATCAACCTAATATTATAATAATATGTATTACTGGAACGAGCATAAACATTTTAAAATGTACGCCCGACTTTCAATTAAAAACGTATTAACAACGTGGGCACCCTTGCAATGGCTTAATTTCGTTACATGTTTACTGCATTACACCGAATTACAGTTCGGTGGATCGAGGAACATCGGTTTTACATGTTGGATTTTGGCGTACGATATGTTAAACCGCGCGTACATGACATCAAAGGTCGGCGCGGCGATAACAAAACGATACCCGCACCGCTGTTGTTAATGTAGCACAATAATAACGTTAGATAAACGTAGTGTAATATATTTTGGAGTTTGGGTGATGTATACGAAACAGTGCATTTTGATCTCAAACATTATGGTGTGACTGATAATAATCATTCGAAACCTGCACCGCGAATATCACGATTTAATTTATGTTGATCATTCCGCGTAGGTGGACGATACGTCATATGCCTAGTAAACGTCATAAAAATATAAACTACGTATCAAAATAATGTTATAATAGTTATTTTTTTTTTTTTTTTTTAAACACAGTACACACAGTTAGTCGAAGACCGTATAATTTTCTTTCAAACACATTCTCGGCGTCTGATAATACGTGTTACGGATGCGGGGTAAAAAAAAAAAAAAAAACGGCACGGCTATTCTGTAGTGCAATAATTTATTGTACCTACCTACCTACACATTATGGTATGGGTTTTATAATAAAATAAACTGTATATAGGTACTTTTACAATAATAGAGCATTTTGCTTCTGAAATCATAGGGTTATGTAAACTGTAATTGCCAGCCAACAATAATAATTTAGTCTCCGCACTGTATTTCACGAATGGTATTTAAATTGCCATTGTCGACTGATAGAACTACGTGTGGGACGGTTTCAGACTGGTTCAAGCAGATTACATCGCAGTGTATTTACGAACAGTGGCCGCAATGATAGCAGCCGTATAATACAGTAGTTGTGTGTACGAAAATGAAATCACAATAAAAAACGGTTTGAAGTGTTTGAACAAAAAATACTTTTATTTATACGTATTGTATCGAAATCTCGTTTGTGTATCACATTCAAATTGTTTATTTGTCTCGTTATGTTTACCTACACATATTGCGCATGTCTGAAATACATGTTTAAAGTTTATTAACTATCCAAAATATCCATTTAAATGGCCGTGTTCCATCGTGTTTAACGATAAAAACAATTGTGTCTGAAAATATTTGTACATTTGTACAAAATAAGTTCTTTTTTTTTTAAACTATGCATACCAGAATAATAATAATAATAATAATAATAATAAAAACATATTTCAATCAAAAATATTAGATTTTTATAAAAATAATACAAATCAAAACTATTACTAACGTTATTTAGACGACTATAATCAAATAAAAAATTAGTTTCATAGAAAATAATAAAATACAATTTCTTTGGAACTGTTATCAATAATATATTATCAAGTATTAATATATATTTAAAAAAAATATTTGACTAGTTTTCTTTAAAAAACATATATCAAATAATAAATATAATTGAAGAAAAATTAATTTTAAAAGCAGAAAAACCAACTGAAAAACTCTTCAATTAAATTCTTATCCAAAAATAATAACTGTCATTATATTTTTTCAGTTTTACAACTAAAACTATACATATACTTATTTATATTTGTATGGGCGTAAAATATTGAGTTTTTATTTGGAAAACAAGTATGCATTTTTAATATTATATAAAATATTTTTAGTTACAAAAATATAATTTTAGATTGACTACGTTTATTTTTAAATATACTTTCACTTAACACGATTGAATTTATTATAAAATCCAAAAACAGTGTAAAATTGCAATGTTATTAAAGACGATTATGAAATGAATTCACTTTTAATTTTATTAATTCATATATTATTTAGATAACAGTATTATTTTATACTAAAAATTATTTTACTTTTTTGAACAAATCGAAACATTAGATGCTTGAAACTATTTCTTTTAAAATTAAATTCGAAATATAGAGTACATTAGTAAATACGAAATATCATCAGTTTCTTAGAGTCTGAGTTAAGTTTAGTAAAAGTTTCCAAATAAAACTTACTAAAAATATTTTTTTTTCTCCAAAAACACTTAATGTTTTTTTTTTTTTTTTTTTTCTAAGAGAAATCAAATTGTTGGACACCTGTTTATAGTCCCGTGGGAGTGGTTAAATGAACACATTTCGAGCGTCAAATTACATAGGTAGTAAATGACTAGAGAAAAAAGTTTTGTATCGTGGTTAAGAGGAAGCCGTTGAAAGTTGTGGTTATTTGTCAAATTGTGCAGAAGGTCGAATAAAAATAAAGAAATACAATAATAAAACAAGCAAATGCGTACAAAAACGATTTCTACCGCCTGATAAACTGCTGCATAGACGTTATTATATTAAAAATATATTCAATGATTTTTTTAAGTATGTCGATATATTTTAATCGAAATTCCAACGAGTAGTATTTGAGTTATTAAACCTCATGTACTGAAGATCGATGATAATTATTTTTAATAATTATTAATACTAATCTATTAAAACCATATAGTTTATAAAAACTATTGCCGAATTTAATATAACAAATATTGACAAAAAATAAAAACATTTGACAATACGTTTAAGAACCATTATCCTAAGTATTGAAATGGCGTGCTCAATCCACATTATGTTTCATATGATATAAATATAATTATTAAAATGTGAAAACAGATTTTAATGGTAATCACGCCATCCATTATTTTTGTGGGAATATTTTAAAATATTTATATACTCTAAGAGAATATTCTCTAGAAAGAGAAGACGTTTATGTGCCTGATGAAGAGACCCAAGTATGTGGTCAGAGTGGGTGATTATCCATTTTATCATTGGCCATACAGGTCTAATGCTAATTACAATGTGAGATAAATGTATATTATACATGGGTTTGTACAATATAAATGGAGTTAACTCATCCCATTGTTCGCTTAAGCAAATGCACACGACGAGATATGGCGATAACCCGGGAATTTATCTTAAATAAGTACATCGGATGTGAGATAAGTCGTATCCCCGATAACGGATATCGTTTGGTTGGTCTTAGACGGTAAGATGGTTGTTCCTCAATGTTGCTTAAGTTTTTCAGTGTCCTACTGTCTATGAATTGACTTCCTGTTGGTCTCGTCGATTTATTCTGAGAGCTCTGACAGTCGTCCGTGACCATTGGCGTATTCGCGATTGTGGGGGACGGGGGTATACAATAAATTAGACCTAGTTGTGTTACTGACCGATTCGATCTCGACTTTACTTGACTAGATAGCCGTCACTGGTCGTCATAAGTGTTCATCACTGGACCGGTAGTCGCATAATACTACGTTGATCTTGTTAGATGGTCGTACGCTCGTCGTCGTTTGTATAGTAATCGGTGGATTACTTGCGGTGGTATGCCTACTATAACTGAAAGCATTTTGTCTGGCGGTGACTTTTTGTGCCTGAGAAATCGTGTAAGGTGTTTTTGTGATTCATTTTAATAGTCAAATCACAGTTATTGAGCTCAAGATTAATAGAAAGTCTGGTTCAATTGGATTTTTATGATAATTATTTTAACTTTTACTGTGTAGTTTTTATCGACTTGTAGGCCATAAAACTATAATGCTCGATATAGTTTACCATTACAGTATGGAAATTTCATTAATTTAGAAAATACTCATTTGAATTTTGATTTAGATATATCAACGATTTCTAAATGTATATCTACTTAAAAATGTACTGTAGGTTAATTTCCCTATGAAAAAAATAAATCTGTGTAGTCACAGAACACACCTTAGATCAGAAAAAAACTAAGTTATTGAAAATATACTCTTTGACTATAGTTAAATGTTCTAGAAATAAAAATTTGAATATATTCATTATTTAAGGAAAATATTATTATTAAGGAATCACTCTATGTATATTAGTATAAGTATAAAAAATAAGCAACTATCACACTAGAAGAATTACAAATAAATATTATTATCTGTATTTATCCATCTAATGTTATTATATTTTGTCATAAAAATGTCCAGAAATCCATTGCTATTCAGAATGATACGACCACGCGCGGCAGCTCAATTTATGGGTAAATGAAAAAAAAAAGCTACTCTAATCGAACGGTGAGTTGCGTGAGAAGGTAATGAAAGTTTTTTCGGTTAACAATAAATTACGAACTGAAGGTATATTATTCTTATCCTATATTATTTTATTGCAAACATTCGTGAATAATAATAATAATAATAAAAGAAAAAAAAAAAAAAAAAAAACGTTTATCAAAAAACTTC